TTCGAGAAGATTGTGTTTGCCGTTCTGGACAATGTAAAGGGACCAGACGGTGGCAAGAATGGAACCGGTAACTTCGGTATTTTCTATCGGACTTTGCATGGACAGGCTGTGTAATGAATGATGGAGGAGGATAGCTTTGGATCGTCAGCAACTTGTGTGCGGTCTCGTTACAGGCGCATGAGTCGGAAGCAAGACGCAAAGGTTATTGTTAAACCTGATGTGGACAGCTGACGGGGAACGTAGTCACAGAGGGCGTTCCGTGGCAACAACACGGTTAACGGCGGAGCATTCACAGCGATTACAGTATCAACATAGCATTAATCAAGAAGCAATGCATTGGCCCCGTAGGGCAGATCTCTTTGAATTCTGATGACACCGGGAGAACTAGGTTGGTATCATGATGCAGGTATATGTACAAGAACGCAAAGATGCAAGGCACTCCATTACCACTCGACTTCCCAGGCTTCCACGCCTATGACTTGAACGTTTTGCTACGTCCTGCGACTTCTTTCTGCGCCCTCGGCAGTCCCTTTGGTGCATCCGTCATACCCGAGAAGGGCGCAAAGCTCGAGTTCTTCTTTTTCTTGTCCTTTTTCTTCTTCTTCCCGTCTCCGTCTTCGGCATGTAGTACTGATTTCGCGTTCGCGTAGTCAAAGGCAGGCTCGTCGCCGTAGTTGAGACCTGCGGCATGGGCAGCAGCATCATCCTTCTTCTTTTGTTTGCGTGCCGCTTTTCGAGCGGCTTTCTCACGTACGCGAATTGCTTCCGGTGTCTCTTCAGGTGCGTCTAGCATGATTTCGTCGTTGGTCATGGGATCGAGGGCCGGGGCGCTGGTCGCCTGGTCTTCTACCTCGTCTCCTCGCTTTCGTTTGCGACCACCGAGATGCTTGACAACGAATGTGTCGGTTCGTTGGTCTTCGGCTGGTCTCTCTTCTTTCGGCACGAAGGTGTGCTGTGGCTTCTCTGCTTTTGGTGTAGCTTGGGGCATTCCGTTTGAATCAGCAAATACTTGGGCAGTGAGAGGTGGTAACGGTAGAGCAAGGCCGATGTCGATAGTTGGTATTCCCGGCTGTTGTGGCGCCTGGTTCGCTTTCCAAAGTTCGCCCCAAAATTCTGAAGATGAAGCTCGCGTAGCTCGAACAGCTACAGTGCTTTGGGGTACAGAGGCCTCAACAGCTGGTGTTGCAGTCACCTCCGCTACCTTGATCGCAGCGTCTGACTCGGCCCTTTCCGCCCTCTGCATGTCGGCAATCGTCTGGAGTACGTTGTGCAGCTCCGGTCCATTGACACCCTCCTCTTTAGCCTTGGCGATGACAGCTACAAGCTCATCCGCATGCGCTCGAATGATATGCGATACGTGTTGGATTGCGTTGAAGAGCGCAGCCTTGTCCGCAGGTATCATACGAGCTACAGTGAATACGGCGTGGTTGGGCATAATGAACAGCGGGCTTTCATCCTCTTTCCGGCTGAGGTCGTCTCTCCATCTATGAACGGCGCGGAAGACAGAGAACTGTTGGGGGGTAAACTGCACAGGCGTGCGTGAGACGAGCTTGTACCAACCAGCAGTTCCAAGACCCATCTCAGTATCGTATACAGGGTGTTCGTAACGTTGCAAGGCCGTCTCTTTCGACTTTTGAAGTACATCTTGGACCTTGTTCTTCTCTTGGTTAGAGAAGTCAGACTTCTCGACTAGCTCGTTGCGCATGTTGTCGTATATGTATAGGAGGAAGTGGGTATCAGCGCGTGCGTATTCGAAGAGTTCCTTGCTGAGCGGTCTCACGCGCCAATCTGCGAGCTGGTACTGTTTCTGGGCCGTGAATTGGACATGCCTTTCGAGTAGATATGCCAGACTAGCACCAGGGTAACCAAGGGCCCGAGCAGCATGGTACGTGTCAAAAAGACCAACGACATATAGTCCCAGGTCTCGCTGAAGCCAGACAATGTCCATGTATGCACCGTGTAGAACCTTCAGGATGCTGGGATCTGCAAACACCTCATTCAGGCATTCGAGCTTCCGCCGCCAGGGCTTCAAAGTGTCGACTATCCAGTCCTTATCGCGTGTGCTTATCTGCATTAGTGAGACCATGCCGATGTATGAGCGGTTGTCGTGGTGTTCCAGATCAATGGCGATTTCCTTTGCAGTCTTTAGCTCAGAGAGCATCGTAGCCAATGCTTCAGGAGTATCGACCAAGGTTGCGGTGGTAGTTTCGAAAGGAGGGTATTGCTGCGGCTCGGAGTGCTCGTATACGGTCGAAGGATACTCGTAGGTTTCGATCTCGGTCTGGTATGGGTGGGGGTATTGTTCCCGTCCGCGCCTGTCCTTGAATGTCTGCAAGCATTCTTCTAGCGGGATCTTCGCATGCGGCTTGGATGTGACCAACGGGCGGAAGCCGCCAGTTTCGTTGTTGCTAGGCGCATGCTCGAATTTGAGCTGCGGCTTTGCGATGATCTTTTTGTCGGCAATGTTGGGGCGTGGTTTCACAGGAGCCTGCGGACGCGTTAGATGATGCGCCTCACTTTCCGCATGCGCGCTCCTTACCTGCTCAGTCGCGGGACTCAAGCGCTTCACAACGCCCGTGTACTCGTCGAGACTGGTGTCGGCCTTCTCAAGCAAGCTGTCGATGACATCAACAACCCCCCTCCAATTGGCGTCTATGGCTTCGACGTCGGGCAGCTTGGGACCTACAGCGTCCGAGCTCGCAGCAGCATTCTCGAGAAGCCGCTGCGCGAGATGAAGGAGGCGCGCATTCTGGGCGTCGAGCTGCGTGCCAGCGTCTGGGTTCAGCGATCGTTGGAAGGGAATGTCCGCGCCGCCTATGAGAGAGGCAGACTTGGTGGTCGACTTCAGGGCGGCCGCGATTTCTGTCTGGAGCGTCTTGAAGGAATCCATGGCGAGTTTATTGTGCGCTCATCCTCCGAGGTGATATTCGATGACGCGGTCTACGGTGGCGTCTCGCTTGGATGTCGTAGGTAGGGCTGGTGTGGAGAGGAAGCGCGTGTCGCAAATGTTTAGAGAAAGAAACCTTCAATGATCTTCGCTAGCGCGCTTTCCCTATCGATAGCCGCGCCCGCGACCTTCACCAGACCCTCGGCCTCCGTCATGCGGATCAGCGCCATTGCTCAACCACCACCTGTATTTTCACCAACATGTCCGCCTCCTTAGCACCGGAATGCAATGAAGTCAAAGAGTGAGCGTGCGCGTTGTTGATGTTGTTGCCGCAACCCACTGACACAGGCCAGACGCTACGATAACTGCTTCCTCAAGTGGTACAGCGAAAGTACGCAGAGTACCAACCAGGCACCAAGTACCTATGGATTCTGACCACGTGCAGAATTTTTGCGAGGCACTGCTACAACCGACGAATGTAAACCGATATTCGAGCAGTATGAGAAGTGTCTTTCAGTCAGTCACGCAGCCGGCTCGATGCTTGGCCTTGCACCTAGCTGACTTGTTGAATAGCGAGCTCTGAACGAGCGAGGCATCGACAAAATGTTGAAGGAGGTGCGAGACGACAACAGGGAAAATGACGCTGAGCACATGAAGCCAGTACGGACGTTCTTCCCCGTGGCATAGAGTGAAGCTAACAACATCCAGAACCGATGATCCCAAACATGCTCTATCGCACTTTGTAGAACTATAGACATATTCAGGCGCATCCACCTCATCAAGTGAGTTTGGAATCTTCGATCCCAATGCAGTGGGTATTCTATACAAAATCGAGGAAGAAAAGCTCATGGGCATGCAGAATTTCGCATGAGCGTCTCCATACCATACCGGATCATACCGGAACAACCAATTGTCTTCACTTATATGTAATTTTATCATGTATAATTATTCCCGAATGTTCTCGAGGTTTACCGCATCAACGATGCACCAACATTGCTGGTCGGGCCGCTTCGTACATGGGCGCTAGACCTCCGAATGACGACATAGTGCGAGATCCATGTATCTCGGGAATGCATCTCATCCGCTCTCCCAGCTCCACTGAGCCCACCCCGTGGTCCCACAACTTTATAAAGTCCTCTCCTTCGCTGTCTCAATTCGATGGTCAACTACCTCTCTGTCCCTGAATCAAACATGGCTACCAAAGTTGGTCTCGGCGTCCCAATGCCGCTCCTGGCTCCTGCGACTGCTACATGGGCTTTCCCATTCGCGGCTTACTACCTTTTCCTCCAAAATCGCATTGTCTACCACCGCATCACCTCGAAAACGTAGGATAAGCTGCTCATTCATAGCAAAGCTTCACTAACGTTGACGACAGCTACATGGGTGACAAATCGGACGATTCAAAGGGCACCACTGATCCTCTCTACGTTGCTTCACGCGCGCAGCTAAACTTCACTGAGAACGTGCCTCTCGTGCTTGGTATCGCACTTCTCGCTGAGCTCAACGGAGCCAACAGGTAATCTCACCAGACTGAGACCACAGAACCCATCTAATTCGTTCGTCAGGTCATACATAAACTACGCACTTGGAGCTCTGTTCGCATTCCGTGTCAGTCATGCTGAGCTTGGGTTGATGATCAACGAATCCAAGGGCCCTGGAAGAATTGTTGGTTTTTACGGCACCCAGGCTGTACTGGCAGGTATTGCTGGATACGCGACGTATCTGATCACGGATTACTGGATGATTTGAACAAAAAGACGTGCATGTAACGAAATAGCCCTCATCTAGGGTTGGCAAAAGCAGGCGATGGAGATAGACACTACAAGTGAAGATTTATTTCTAGTGAAAACCATTGACCATGCATGTGCGTACATGGGTCGACAAAGAGACTCGAGGAAACATGTGAAATGAGGCGCATTACGTAGCAGCTGCGGTGGCGCCAAGGCATGCGAAGTAGGCGGACAGCTGCCGCGATGCCAATCCCCACCAATTCTTAAGAACATAGGCTATAGATACAACCAGCCTCGACGGACGCGTCCCTACCCTCTCGAACCTCGGAATCGCCCTCCTCTCCTAGCCTAGAGCCTCAGCATCCAAATCCTCCGGCGGCGCAATGGAGGCAGCGTCTGCGCGCATGGCCGCCCGGGATCGTTACGGCGCATTCGGAGAGGCACCCAGTTCACCACTGCAGCGCTACATACGTATGCACAACGTAACCACGCCCCGTGCAAGGCAGAGCTGACCTGACAAAAAATAGTACAAGCTTGCGATCCGCAAAACTTTGAGCCTAATCTGGCCCTGAACCTCGAGATCTCCGACTTGATTAACAGCAAGAAAGGCTCCGCGTAAGATCAGGCCACGCTACCACTACCCGCAGCAGGCTAACTACGTCCCAGGCCCCGGGAAGCAGCTGTTACCATCGTACACTATGTCAACCACCGCAACCAGAACGTGGCACTCCTCGCGCTCAATGTACGCCCACGCTGCCCCGCCTCAGACACCGTATAGCTCACCACAAGATAGCTCCTAGACATCTGCGTCAAGAACTGCGGCTACCCATTCCACCTTCAGATCAGCACAAAGGAATTCCTCAATGAGCTCGTCCGCCGATTCCCCGAACGTCCGCCTGTGCACTCGACGCGTGTGCAGAACAAGATCCTCGAGCTGATAGAAGAATGGCGGCAGACGATATGTCAGACATCGCGGTACAAGGACGACCTAGGCTTCATAAGGGATATGCACAGACTGCTGAGTTACAAGGGCTACATCTTTCCCGAAGTGCGCAAGGAAGATGCTGCCGTCTTAAACCCCAGCGATGTACGTACCTGCAATCCTGCCGGTTGGAGCATACGGCTGACAAAGCGCAGAATCTCCGATCAGCAGAAGAAATGGCCGAAGAGGAGCGAGAGGCACAATCCGCAAAACTTCAGGAATTGATTCGTCGTGGTGGACCTGCGGATCTGCAAGAAGCGAACAAGCTCATGAAGGTCATGGCCGGATACGATACCAGGAACAAGACGGACTGGCGCGCAAAAGCTGCCGAAGAGGTCGGCAGAATACAGCAAAAGGCAAAGATACTCGAGGAGATGCTACAGGGCTACAAGCCGGGTGATCAGATCAAAGAGGGCGACGTCTTTGAGGTATGCTAACTGAGGTAGTAGGCAAGCGATATTGGCTGACCAGATGACAGGAACTTGCCAACGCTCTACAAAACGCGCAACCGAAGATCCAGAAGATGTGCGAAGAGGACTCCGAAGACCACGAAGCCGTAGCGAAGCTCTTCGAAATCAACGACAGCATACACCGGACAATAGAGAGATACAAGCTCTTCAAGAAAGGCGACATCGAGGCGGCGAATAACATTCCTCAAGGTACACTTGGTCGCAGTGGTGCTGGTGTATCACAGGGTCCTAACAACACGTTGAACCTGATTGATTTCGGCGACCCAGAGCCCGCACCTCAAACAGCAGGATCGTCGCAGACTTCCCAACAGCCAGCCGCGGCAGGCAATGCTCTCGAGGACGATTTGCTGGGTTTGTCTTTAAGTGGAGACACATATGGACAATCAGGCAGTATATCTTTGGGAGGCTCAAACGGCTCAGGTAAGTTCTGGTATCACAACGAGTATCCGTATACTAACGCCTACTAGTTCTGGGCATGTCTGGTATGGCCGTGCCACAGTCGCAAAAGGCATCCAACCAAGCTATCACCGATCTCTTCACAGCAGCGCCAAAACCAACGCAATCCCCAATCACGTCCCCTCCTCAATCTGCATTCTCTCCTCCCCCAGTACAGCCAGCTAGGACACCTGATCCTTTTGCGGCCCTGACTTCTACACCACGACAAGGATCACCTTTCCAGTACCAACAATCCATCAAACCACCACAACCTGCATCTGGTGCTGTCGACCTGTTAGGTGGCGGGGGGTCTGCACCAACGACTAATCTTGCACAAACCAGTGCTGCGAACGATGACGATGAGTGGGACTTTGCCTCATCTGTACCCGATACCTCAAAGGAGATATCCGTCACCAACACTAGCATCAATGTCCTCTTCAACGTCTCGAGAGAATCGGACACCACGCTGCTGATTCAATCGCGGGTATCGAATAACACACCACTTCCAATCTCCGGTTTGACCTTTCTGTTGGCGGCGTCTAAGGTAAGTTCCATAGCTACGAATGCAGGGTTATGAGTTAACAACCGCTAGGGCGCGCAACTACAGCTGGAGCCACAATCTGGTGTCAACCTTGGACCGAACCAAAAGTTTGGCATTACTCAGAACATCCGAGTGACCAACGTACAAAGAGGGTCAGGGACCAGTGTCAAGATGAGGTGGAAGGCTGCGTATTCTCTTGGTGGACAGCAGAAGAACGAGATGGGGGAGATTTCGAGCCTTGGTGTTTCATAGCTTTCGCGACACAGCTGCCAGATCCACGAACTCGTAAAGCACACATAGAGTACTTGCCGCGATCTGCAGAATGAATTCCATGCAGCGATACTTTATGGGCTAAGTGATGCGATCCACCTTTGGCGCGTAAATGATCAGACAACGTCATTGCACTAGCGCGCCTTATCGATTACGATGTTCAAATGTTATTCTACACTCTTGCCCCGCCACTCTGCGACTCACTCAGCCCCAAACCGCAAAACAACCTTTATTTCAAGACCTATCAGCAAGTCACCATGGTTCGCCACAAGAAAGACTTCAAGGGCAACAACAAGTTTCGAAACCCGGCGAAAGCACGCGCGCCTCCTCGCCCCCGCCGCGCATCAGATGCAGAAGAGGAGAACGACGGCGCCAACCCGAGACCTGCGAAGCCCGAGTTCAAAGCCGCATGCTGGGACCTCGGACACTGCGATGCGAAACGCTGCTCTGGCAAGAGGCTCATGCGTCTGGGCATGATGCGCGAGCTTCACGTAGGACAGAAGTTCGCTGGTGTAGTGGTCAGTCCGAAGGCCAAGAAGATACTGAGTCGCGAAGACAAGGATCTGATGGAGCAATACGGCGCTGCGGTCGTAGAAGCCAGCTGGAAGAGGATAGACGAAGTCCCATTTGGCAGGATAGGTGGCAAGTGCGAACGCCTACTTCCGTACCTCGTCGCCGCGAATCCAACAAACTACGGTCGTCCTTGGCGATTGAACTGTGTCGAAGCTCTGGCGGCTTGTTACTATATTACCGGACACCCTGAATGGGCCGAGTCGATCCTCTCGACTTTTTCCTATGGTCAAGCGTTCTTGGACATCAATGCCGCACTGCTCAAGCGTTACATGGCGTGTGAAAACGAAGAACAAATCAAGAAGGCTGAGGAAGTCTGGCTAGAGAAAATAGAGCGCGAATACAACACGAGTCGCACAGAGAAAGAGGATGGCGTGGAAGAGGATGTGTGGGCCGGTGGAAACATGAATCGGCGGGTTATCGACGAATCAGATGAGGATGAAGATGAGGACGAAGATGATGATGGAGAGGAAGAAGACGAGGTTGACCCGCGAAACCCGTATAACATTCCGGAATCTTCAGACGATGAAGAGGAGATGGCTGAGCTAAGGCGCCGTGTCTTGGCATCGAAGCCCTTTACCAACCCTGCACCAAAGGATGATGAAGATGAAGACGAGGGCGACAAGAAGGCACCCGAACGCATACCTCAAACGGAACCTGCACCGAAGAATGCCAAAGCCGAAGTGGAGGATGACAGTGAGCCCGCGGAAGGCGATGCAGATGATGATGAATTCGATAGCTTTATGGCAGCGCAACCCACCACGGACCGGACAGGCATAAGCAGCAAGCAGAGATCAAAGGCCATGGATGGCAAGTACAAGGCCACCTTCTCGAGTGGCAGTGTAAAGGCACCCAGTGGACGCGGCTACCAATAGTTCTCACCCTCGTAGCTTCCACTATAGTAAGAAATGTGAACAATTCTGTCGGATTGGGAAGCTGCTGCAAACGTTTACCTAACTGGTTATCGTTAGGTTATCGTTCTGGGACTAGTTCGAGCCTAGGCAGCCGAGGGCGATCGTTTCGTGCGACAAACTGCATTCGCGAAACACCACTCCAAACATCGTCGTTTGACGATGCGATGCGCGAGCGATAAACTTTGGACGTAATTACTCATAGTATTCTTCATGCCTTATGAACGGTCGTTTGTGACTAGCCCCCGCGGTTCGAAGCTGCATCGATAACACCATAGCGGCACTTGCACTGGCTGCTACAGGCAGCGCAGCGAAAGAGACGAGAACCAACAGTTCACTCGACGCAATCAATCTTACTCCGACTTTTGAGCATCGCGTTGTTTTCTCTCAGTATTGTCACATGAATAAAAATATCCATATTAGTCCGACTACCCGAGCACCGTCTCGCCACCAGTCGAGTTGTCTCGCAAGTCACTAGGGCTAAGCTTTCCGGCAAATCCGTCCCAGATGCGCAAACTAAACGTCCTGCCTGACGTTTGAAACCAAATTCGAAAAGAAGCATTGCCGTCAGCCGAGCAATCTCTTGGCCGACACCATATCTGTAAGGACACAGGTCTCGTCAAGTGACACGGGCGTATCAAGAAGCCATAGCAAGTTTTGTGTGGACCTCCTCAGTCCGAAGGGGCTCAGAATGCCTGAAGGCTATGTTACTTCACACTCCGGAACATCTTGCCATCAATTCTTGGAGCACGACACGAAACCCCATTGACCGGATCGGGATACGCCGGACCAAAAGCCGAAGTCATGGTACGAGACGCGAAGTTCATAATAAGCTGCTGTGCCACAACTGACTGTTCGAGTACCTTTCTGCTGTAGCAAGTCTGGTCAGTTGCTCCGCCATTCTCTCGCTCTTCTTTTAGTAATCTCTCTTTCCCTCTTATTACTTAATACTTTCCAAGCCCAGGTGGCTTTTGTTACTACCATCATGACGTCCGGTACTGTCTCTTCCATTGTTCTTCTCTTCTTGAGCTGTACACAGGTGTTCGCTCAAACGGGACAAACGCAACAAGTGTCCTACAACCAAGTCCTTAATCTCAATGGCGACGTAAGTAATCCATATTTGCGAACAGCCCCCAATGGCATCGGACTAATGGACGTAGATGAAACTCAACTCATTCCAATTCCCCGACCGCTCCAGGGTCGAGACGTTCTCCCAGAAACAGCAGCAGATAATCGTTAATCAACAAACACCCGCCATCCCCGCCAACCAGGTCACAGGAACGACTGGTCAGTCTTTCGTCGCTGTCTCACCGCAATCCATGATCATCAGCACAAATGGCGCTACCGATCTAGTTGGTGGCCAGATCGAGATGGCCATGACCATGCAGAACTTGCAGGGCGCTGCGGTGCAGCCAGACAACACCTACGTGGCTATGCTGTCACCCGACCGTCAGTCCTGGATGATCCAAGAGACTATGAGGAGTGTCAACACCACTGATATGACGGTCCGCATGGTCAAGCGTACTCAGATGGACGGTGAATATATGGTTGTTGGCCGCCAGACTGTTGAAACTAACACTCTGGTCACTCCTTTTGGTAGTGATGGCAGCACCTCAGTGGCAATTCAGGGTACTGGTCTGCAAGAGAACGAGTTCCAGGATGGCTTCAGGATGTCTACCCGTGCTACTCAGCCCATGACCATGAACGTCGACGTCAAAGATGGTGTTGACTCTGGTATGCTTGCTGCTCTTCAGGGCCAGGCCCCGGTCAACGACTACCGTTACTCGGTCACAACCAACCTGGCTGCCGTCACTCCGGATCTGAACCAGCAAGTCACCGTCATTCAAATGCCCCGTAAGTCATTGTTCCTTTCGTTCGCATCTGGGGCTAACAGACATATAGTCAACCCAGTCCGTATTCAGAAGATGATGCAAGCCATGGGAGTCTCCCCTACTGGCCAGGTCGCTGTCGCAGTCGCCCAGCGCGGTGTTCTCCAGAACCCCGGAGGTGCAACAGGAAACCTCGGCGGAGCCGCTGGTGTAGCCGCTACCCAGCGTCGTGGTCTCAGCCGCGACGAGTTCAGACAGGAGGTCGCCCGCCAGATCCAACAAGGCACACCGCAGACCGTACCGCAGGGCACACAACAGGGTACACAACAGGGTACACCTACCAACGGCAACAACCCTGTCGCAGCTCAGCTTCTTCTTGCGCCTACCTTCACCCCCATCCAGGCCAATGCCGTTCTCGACCAGGCCAACATGCGCATTGCCGTTCCCGTCCGCCAAGTTGATGGAGAGTACATCCTTACGATGCAGATGATGGGCGGTGCGCAAGCCGCTCAGCCCGCCCAAGCCCCTCAAGCTGCCGCGCCTCAGCCTGCCGCTGCAGAGGGACAGACGCCCACTGCTGCTGAGCCTGCTACATCTTCTAGTCTGACGCCTGCCGGTGAGGCCCCCGCAGCCGCTGCTAGCCCAACCGAGCTCAAGCCAACTCCTGAGGCGGAGAAGCCAACAGCCGAAGGCGCAAAGCCAGCTGCTGAAGGAACGAATTCGTCCGCTGAGGGTGAGAAGAAGCCATCGACCGAAGGTGAGAAGCCAGCCCTTGGAGGCTCCGCCTCAAACAGCACCTTGACCGCGAAACCGGAGCGTCGCGCGGAGACCGAAGCCTCCAACACTGACAAATACGGCGATGTCAAGGCCCCCAAGGGTATGATCATCATGACCATGAAGGAGGTTGACAGCATGGTCGCCGCCGTTACTTGGGGTGGCCAGGTCGCCATTACCAAGATGATGAACGAGTACGTCAAAGAGCAGACTGGCAAGGGCATGGCACCTATGAATGCTACTGAAACTGCGGCGGGTGGTGTCAAGATCACTCTTTGAGGTGGATCGATGTATGGATACGCGGTAATGCATGGGTAATGGTGGCTGTGTTCCCATGTCGAAGAGGAAAGATGGCTGTTAATAGTATCGTTAGTTGGGGCTTGATGTCCTTTCTTTCGCATGGTCGGAAGCTTTATTAGTTGTACATAAAATTGACGAACAAAAAGTGTGCCTTAACGTTCTAAACGGATCTGGCTCGAAACGTTTCATGAAGATTCTCACCGTCATCATGGCCTTGTGCTACTGGCTTCTACATTTCGTCGCATGCGCCGCTCGGCTACATGAGCTCCCTTTCTGTGCAGTGAGGGAAGAGAGACTCTAACCCTCACTCTTTTGACGATGCACCCTTCTTCTCTTCTGTCGACTCGCCTCCCTCCCTCTCTTTCCTCCGTTGTGCGACATCCCAGTTGTAAACCCGCGCGAAAGCGACCTCGAGTGTCTATAATCGTGTCAGCTGTATACCCTGTAGATCACTTGGAGTATACGTACTGTGATCTGTTCACGTAGAAAGTCCAAGTCCTCCTCACAAGTACCCAGACTCTGTTTCGCAGTCGACAGTTTCGATTGCAACAGCTCTTCGGCTTCGGGTATAGAGTATGAGAGCATAACGTTGGCGCCGAGCCATAGGTAGACTTCGTCGGTAGGAGGAACTTCAGCTTTGGCGTAGAGCGTATCGTTGAGTTCGAAGGTAGTCTCGAGAGGCTCTGCGTCGTCTTTCCGCGACTTCAGGAAGCGCACTGTCTCGAGTGTCTTTTGGATGTCGGGGATCTTGTCCTTGAGGCCTGCGGCTCGCCGTTGGGTGTTCTGCTGCATGAATTGGTACTTTCTGGGAAGGTTTGTTAGGTATCGCTGTCCATATGGAGTTGTCTGGCTGGGCTGGGCGTACGAGATCATCTCTTTGAAGTTGTTGATGGTCTTCTCCACATCTGCGCGGTCGGTGACATAGTCCTCAACCTGCTGATATTAGATCCATGCATTCCAGAGGCGGAGGGACTTCGAACCCGGTCTATGAAGGGCGCAACGGGTATACCGCGAGGGTTCGCTGGGAGGCTGTCAGAGATGCGTGAGCGATTCGGCGAAGTTGGGAGGCATACTTTCGGGACCACTGCCAAATGATTAGCTATAGTTTTAAGAGTTGTTGCAGTACTCACCTCCCGCCTTTGGCTACATCAGCCATTGCGAATCGAGATTATCTGCGTCAGCGTCGTTCGCGTTGCTCGCGTTCAAGGTTTCGCGTCTCGGAGAAAATGCCCCGCTGTGCCCGCGTTCTTGGCGGCACAGCAGCGCCTCCGCCCCTTGAGACCCCAAATTCCTCCGCCCCGCCCCAGCCTTCTTCACATCTCGCCCGTCGCCCGACCTGGCTAGCCGGCTTATGCAAGCAAACCGGCCGATCTGGCTAATAATATATGATCTCACCACCTAGCATCGCTTGCATGCCACGCCCCTGCCGTACGCCTGGTACACTACTGAACGCTACACGGGTAGCACCTCGTTATCATCAGCATCAGGATTACGAAAAGACTCCATTCTCCTGGGATTCGATGGGAGAGCACGGATCCCCCTATCCGCAGCTAGCCGTCACGATAATGAGGTCGTTGTACATACAGCACGGCAGCTCGACGGCCTCGGGTCCGGTCACAATCAAGCCAACTGCCACGTCTGTGGCTGGAGCTCATGCAGTACGTACCTCATCCACTGGCATCTCATGCCTCTATCGCATACACGGATAGCAAAAGGCTTAGCCCAACGGGCGGCCATGCTTTCTGCCCTATGGAGACGGTCATCCGCAGCCCTGGTCGTCTCATCGAGGACTATCGAAAACTACTGCAAGGCTAACATCATGTAAGATGCGACCATCGATGCCTGTGAACTACTCAGCCAGGCAAAACCGAACCAATCGCTCCCCGTCCCGCCAACTCCTCGTCGCGCCATAAGGCTGTCGTATCGTTACAAGCCACAAACTTAATCATCGTAAAGAAAACATGGGGTGTATTACGCTCAAGGCTGCGACCAGCGGTTGCAGCCGCCACTGTTGAGTGCGCTTCAGGAATAGCTGCTTACGGCCTTGCAGATGCGCGTTCG